CGCGCCACGCGCGAAATGAGAGCACAGGGCGCCGCTGCTGATAAACTCTGTCGCGCCCCCCGCGGGTTTTGAGCGCGGGGCCGCGACGCGCGCGTCGATCCGAACGCGCCCGCGATTGCGCGGGGCGTCGTCGTCGAAGGCGAGCCCCGTTTCGAGCGCGAGGCCCGCGGCGTCGGCGCCGCTGGCAGCGCGCTGCCGCCCCCGCGCGGCCAGCGCTCCGCCGCGCAGGGCAAGCTGGCGCGCCGCGCCACCGCCGTCACATTTGCGTTGCGCCGCAGCGCGCGAGCGGCGCCCCTCCTGCGGCCGCCACCCGCAATCATCGCGGGGCGACGCGTCGAGCGGCACGCCGCGGCGCCCAACTTGCGAAGGGGTTGAACAATTCATGCGCGAATGCGCAGTGACCAGAGGTCCGCGCAAGCAGTGGCCGCGTCGGGCCCAGGCTGCCGCGCGAAACGCAGCCGTGCCAGAGTGCGCGTAGCTTCGGATTGGAGGCATCGTTGCATCAAGTACTCGATGAATCTGCTGCGGCGAGATTTGGTCCGCCGCGCCCCGAACGCGTTGCTCCGCGCTGCAGGTCTGCCGTTTTGTCGCAGTGGATATCTTGCAGGTTGCCCGATGCGTCGGTGGTCGTGGCCCCCAGGCGTGGGCTGTTGAAATTCGCCCGTGACGGCCGCGGCTTTGTCTGCTTGTCGTCTGTCGTTGGTGCTGGTGCATGGCGTTGGTCCGCCGGCCTGGTTGCGTGCGGTTCCTTGATTGCCGATGGCATCTAGCGCCGGTGCGTGGTCTGCGATGGTCTTACGCGCGCCAGTTTGATTGCCGCTGGCGTTTTTGCGCTGGGACCTGATAGCGGCGCTTGTGTCGCCGGGGCGGGCGGCGGTGGCCCTTGCGGCGGGGCTGGCAGGGCTGGCCTCTGGATGCCAATTTTGGTCGGGTCGCGGGGTGGTGCGTGCTTCGGGGCGGCGGCGGTCGGCGCGCGGGGCGCGAGTTAGCACGGGGCAGTCGAGGTCGGTTGCCTGCTGCGATGTTGTCCGCTGCTGCGCAGATCGCGGCGATGATGGCTGTCGTCCGCTGGGATCGCCACCTCTATCGTTACGGCTGCGGTTGCGCGATGTCCTGAATCACCCGCCGGCGCCTGTCGATGCCGATTCCCCCCCTGGGAATGGGAAGGGGGCGTCGGGCGAGCCCCCTTGTCAATGGCCTCGCCCGGGCATGTTGGGTCCTGGTTTCGCCGACGCACGGTGGGCGAGCATGGTGATCGGCCGTTGCCCAGCGAGCTGAACGTTGCCGCGGTCCACGTGGTGCATGTGCGTTCGCGCCAGGGGCCTTGGTGCGCAATCCCAAGGATTGCTGCGCGGCCGGTTCAACTCAGCTCTGGGGGCGTGGCGCACGCCAACACGATATGAGCGTACTGGAAGAAATTTGCGCGCGACGCTAGGGGATCTGAGTAATTTGAGCGAGCCTTTTCCACGCTACTGTGGTGGTTCTTCCTTTGTTGTTAGCGTATGCATTCGGGTGAATGCGTACTTACGTTTGTCGCCGAAGTCACATTTGTACTTCCAAAGTTCGCCGAAGTCACACTTGCACTTCGGTTTTTCGTTGGATGCACATTTCCGTTTACGGCCGCATCAGATTTCATAGTTTCTTTTTGTTCACGTTTTCACATTTGTTCTTCGTGAGTTCACTGAAGCCATATTTCCCCACACCGATTTCAAATTTAGAATCAAACCAAGTGTTAGCAGTTTGCCTGCTCCGTGGCGTCATACTGCTATGCCTTGTGATACATTGTTTCACTGCGCAATGCCACGCCATGCTAGGACATGTTATGTTTTGTCGTGCACTTCTAAGCCGTGCTTATTTCCATCCATCGCTCACCCTCTTGGGATCATCGCCTTGCTCGACATCCGACCGTGCGAATCGCTAGCATATCCACGCCATGGTAACCTCATGCCCGTGAGAATAAACACTAGGGGATAATAAAGTTCGGGGTTCAGGGAGAGATAATAAAAGTAGCCCAGCAGACCTCAGCATAATCTCGAAGTAAGAGATGATCAAGAGGAGACCAAGCCGAGCACGTTTTGAGACATCCTTGGCGTTTAGTTTTCATAGAAATATCCTCAACAATGGCTTATCTCTCATGAAAATTGTTTTTTTGTAAGTGCTCGTGTAGGGTAGCTCATGTGCCTCAATTTCCATGGATAATCAACCCCAGAGATAAAAAAGTTCAGGCGAGCGTGGGGACAGAGAGAAATATAAAAGAAGAATAATACAGTAGAATAATAATAAGAAAGAAGAAGAAGGGAGAATAAGAAGAGGACGAAGAAAGGAAAAATCCAAAGTTCCAAATCTATCAATTTTAATTTACAAACGCTTTATGAAAATTGATTGTTTTAAGTGCTCGTGTAGGGTAGCTCATGTGCTTCATTTTCCATGGATAATCAACCCCAGGGATAAATTAGCCTGGCGAAGAACCCAACCATATGCAGTTGTCAGTACCGCAGCTGCGGGTTTCATCTTCAATGGAACTCCCCATAGGACTACGGAACGTGTGAGGGGTGTGCCGAGATGGGTGCCACTGGGGCATTCGGCGAAGCTCCCTATGGGGACATGAAACACGCGCGGGGCGTGCCGACATGGGTGGCGGAAACGCATGTGCGGGCCGCCACTGGGGCCTCCAGTGGAGCTCCCTATGGGTCCCCGAAACATGATGCTGCTGCGGGGGGGGGGCCGGGATGGGTGGCGGAGACGCATGTAAGCGCCGCTACTGGGGCCTTCGGTGGAGCTCCCTATGGGGCCACGAAGCGCGTGAGGGGTGTACTGGGATGTGTGGCGGGGACGCATGTGAGCGCCGCCACTGGGGCCTTCGGTGCAGCTCTCTATGGGGCCACGAAACGTGTGAGGGGTGTGCCGAATTGGGTGCGGGTGGTGACGCATGCAGGCGGTGCCACTGGGGCCTTCGGTGGAGCTCCCTATGGGGCCACGAAACCTGTTGTTGTGAGGGGCGTGCTGGGATGGGTGGCGGGTACGCATGTGAGCGCGGCCGCTGGAGCCTTCGGTGGAGCTCCCTATGGGGCCACGAAACGTGTGAGGGGTGTGCCGAATTGGGTGGGTGTGGGTGACGCATGTGAGCGCCGCCACTGGGGCCTCCGGTGGATGGGGCCACGAAACCTGTCAGGGATGTGCCCAAATGGGTGTGCGGGACGCATGCGCATGTGAGCGCCGCCACTGGGGCCTTCGGTGGAGCTCCCTATGGGGCCACGAAACGTGTGAGGGGTGTGCCGAATTGGGTGTGCGGGACGCATGCGGGCGGCAGCACTGGGGCCTTCGGTGGAGCTCCCTATGGGGCCACGAAACGCGTGAGGGGTGTGCCGAATTGGGTGTGCGGGACGCATGCGGGCGGCAGCACTGGTGCCTTCGGCGGAGCTCCCTATGGGGCCACGAAACGTGTGAGGGGTGTGCCGAATTGGGCGTGCGGGACGCATGCGGGCGGCAGCACTGGGGCCTTCGGTGGGGCTCCCTATGGGGCCACGAAACGTGTGAGGGGTGTGCCGAATTGGGCGTGCGGGACGCATGCGGGCGGCAGCACTGGGGCCTTCGGTGGGGCTCCCTATGGGGCCACGAAACGTGTGAGGGGTGTGCCGAATTGGGTGTGCGGGACGCATGCGGGCGGCAGCACTGGGGCCTTCGGTGGGGCTCCCTATGGGGCCACGAAACGTGTGAGGGGTGTGCCGAATTGGGTGTGCGGGACGCATGCGGGCGGCAGCACTGGGGCCTTCGGTGGGGCTCCCTATGGGGCCACGAAACGTGTGAGGGGTGTGCCGAATTGGGTGTGCGGACGCATGCGGGCGGCAGCACTGGGGCCTTCGGTGGGGCTCCCTATGGGGCCACGAAACGTGTGAGGGGTGTGCCGAATTGGGTGTGCGGGACGCATGCGGGCGGCAGCACTGGGGCCTTCGGTGGGGCTTCCCATACTGGGGCCAACCACGAAACGTGTGAGGGGTGTGCCGAATTGGGTGTGCGGGACGCATGCGGGCGGCAGCACTGGGGCCTTCGGTGGGGCTCCCTATGGGGCCACGAAACGTGTGAGGGGTGTGCCGAATTGGGTGTGCGGGACGCATGCGGGGGCAGCACTGGGGCCTTCGGTGGGGCTCCCTATGGGGCGAAACGTGTGAGGGGTGTGCCGAATTGGGTGTGCGGGACGCATGCGGGCGGCAGCACTGGGGCCTTCGGTGGGGCTCCCTATGGGGCCACGAAACGTGTGAGGGGTGTGCCGAATTGGGTGTGCGGACGCATGCGGGCGGCAGCACTGGGGCCTTCGGTGGGGCTCCCTATGGGGCCACGAAACGTGTGAGGGGTGTGCCGAATTGGGTGTGCGGGACGCATGCGGGCGGCAGCACTGGGGCCTTCGGCGGAGCTCCCTATGGGGCTACGAAACGTGTACTGGGCGGGTGAAACGCAAGGAAGAGGGGGAGGAGGGGGAGGAGGGGGAGGAGGAGGAGAGGAGGAGACGCGGGGCACCGTCTCTTCAAAACGAGGACCCAACACCACAGGATGGTTGGGAAAAAGTTCAGGCGAGCGTGAGGACAGATAGAAATATAAAAGAAGAAGAGGAAAGTAGAAGAATAATAAGAACATTGCTCGTTTCGTTTGAGTCTGCCTCCCAAAATTATTGGTTTCGCTTGACACATCCTGAAAAAGTGTGATCGCTTCGCTTGATGTTGCTATATCAACATCGCTTGATGTTGCTATCTCAACATAGCGTTTCGAGGTGATAATGAAGTTCGGCCTCAGCGCTCGCCGCCCAATTTGAATTTTGTATAGGGCGACGATAATCAACTCTAAACACTGAAGGGGGGGGGTCCCTTTATTATCATCGGCATGCGGTTACAGGAGTGGAAAGAGGGGTAGGACGTCAGATGCGACGCTAGCGCACCGAACTTGCCCCCTTCCCCCCCTTCCCCCCGCTCACCCGCGCCCCGCCCCACCCCTCATCCACGCCCAAGGCTCTCGCAATTCAGCAGCACCCTAGAGCTCCGGGTGGCCAACTTGGCCACGGCCGTCGAGCAGTTGCAGGCCTCGCCAGCCTTTGCCGCCAAGGAGGTCGCGCTGGGGCGGGGCCAGGAGGATTCAGAGGAAGAGGCACCGCTACCGCTACCCTTCCCTCGCTTTCCCAGTTTTGGGCCTCCCAGGCGGCCCTCGTCGCCACCGCTGGATTCGCGTTGAAATTCTAGTCCGAACGCACCCTGGGAGAGGTCTGTGGAGTAGCGGTATCGGTACCTTCTGGTTTCCCCAAAGACACCTTCTGTCCGAGTGGTGGCCTCGCTGGCGCCGCCGCCGGCGGCCACGCCCTCGCAGCTTTCTCCCTCGCGATGGCCCGGAGTACAGTCAACCCGCATGATAAGGGTGGGCAACCTTCCCAAGTGTACCTTTGCATCCTTGCCCCTTCGGCATACCCTTAGCGTCTTTCGCTGGCCAACTTCGTTCGACAAAAAACCTTCACATGGGCCTGCAAGGCCCTTGCATCCTTCCCGCGCAGCCTTATGATACGGGTCGGCTGTAGTTCCGCTGGTTTCGCGCTGTCGGGGCCCTCCACGGGCCCCAGGACCGTCAACAGAAACGGCTCGGGACGAAGAGCCGTCCCTGGGAGAAGGCCCCAGAGTCCAGGAACCGTTGCCCTCAGGGCACGCCCCCCCCTCGTGCCAGGGAGTGGGTGGCGCGAGGGGGGCGGCCTTTCCTGGAGGAGGCGGGCGCGAGCGGGGCGGCGCGAGCGGGGCGGGGCGGCCCGCAGCCGTGGTTGGCGCGAGCGGGTGGCGCGAGCGAGGGGGGGGGCCTTCGTTGAGGAGCCCCCTCCTGGAGGGTCGCGCCTTCGCCGAAAGGGGGGGGCGGGGGAGGCCTTCGCTGAGGGGGGTGGCGCCAGCGAGGGGGGGGGGGGGCCCTGGAGCTGAGGAGGCCCGCTCGGAGGCCCCCGCGGGCCCTGCCGGGAAGCTCCTTCAGCCTGCCTTGTCCTCTCATTCCAGGCCCCCCAGTTGTCGTGTGTCTCGTGTCAGCGTGTGCTCCCCAATGTCTCGGCATGTTCCCCTCGACCGGTTTTTCAGCCTACGTAGTTTTGTGACGGCCCCGTGCACCGGCCCCTGGTGCCTGAGGCAACTTGCGCGCTTCTCAAAGGCGTAGGCTCACTACGTCTGAGGTCTCTCTCCTGTTTTCCTCCTCCGCGGCCGCCCCCTTCTTTTCAACCCGTCTTGCTGTGACCATAGCGCGGAGCGCCCCGCCAGCGGTTCGAACGCGCTCGCGACCACCAGCTCCACTGACCAGGCAAGTTTGGACGGCCCCGGGGCGCAGGGAGGACCCCAGACCCCAGGGCCACAGGCTCGGACGTGGCCAGGACGAGGACAATCCCTTCCAGAGGGCCCCGGAATGCTCTCGGAGCGCTCCGGAGCTCTGTGAGAAGGCCGCTGCGCCCGAGACACTCTCCAGCGCAGCCGGTTCTCAGAGATTCTCGATGTACCTTCACCTGATGTTATCTCTCACCACCCACCAAACCACCCCAACCCAACCCGAAGGCCCAGATTTATCTTCGATTTCCAGTGGGGGGGGGGTCGGGGAACGTTGAAAAAACACATATGGAGCCCATACCCCCCCCAACCCGAAATTCGGGTCTTCGGGTTGGGTTGGGGTGGTCTGGTAGGTAGTCAATCTCAGAGGAGGAACATGGACCGCCATCACCGGGAGCCCATCGGGGCGGGAGCGACCCCTGGGCGGTGGCACGCCGGAGCGCCGCCCCGTGCCGGGTGGCACGCGGCCAGGCCACCGCCCGGGGGTCGGTTCCCTGCGGGTGGGTTCTCGGTGGCGCTGGCATACGTCCATCCTCTGATCATCCTCGTCCCGGCTTCGCTTTGCAGAGGACGAGAAGTGGCAGAACCTTCGGCCATGATGTGTTTCACGAGGCGAGGGGGTCTGGGTTTGCCACGCCGCCGTGTGCGCGCCGCGAGGCAGGAGGCCAGTGCGGTAGCTTCGCGTGCTGGCTCCGAGGCGCCCAGAAGGCAGTGAGCAAAACGCCCGGTCCATTGGTTCAGCGATGTCACTGGTATGCAAGCGGTGATGCTGTGTTCACGCAGCTTTCATTGTATCGCCTCCTACCCTCTCGCTGGGCCCAGCGAGTTGGGCTTGATGGGACGCATACTTTTACAATCGTGCCGATTGGGGGGTTCGGACAATTGTCTTGCAGCATGTCTCCGTGACCTTTCCCATGTGTTCATTTCGAACACTCATCTCCCAATGCGAGCCTCAAACGACGTAATCCTCTTCCCCGGTATGTGCTGTTGATTTCCAGAGGCTCGCCAACAGACGGTTAGAACTAAGACTTGAGTCAGCATTTCTTCGAACCTCCAACTTAAAATTTAAAGTTGAAGTATGACCGCCTCGCACCTCCACGTTCGAACTGAAACGTGAGTTCGAAGCGCCTCGAGCCTCCAAGTTGAAACTCAAACTTGATGTATAACTTGGAGATCGGAGGCGGTTTGAACTCACTCTTGAGTTTCAAGCGTCCAAGTTGTGGCCCAAATCGGAGTTCTGACCACCTCGAACCTCCAAGGTAGAACTCAGGTGCGAGTCCTAATTGCCCCGAGCCCTCAAGTTCAAATCCAATCATGAGTTCGAAGCGCCTGGAGTCTCCAATTTAGAATGTGCATTCGAATTGCAATCGCCTCGGACCTCAACTTTAGAACTGAAAGTTTAGTTCGAACCGCCTTGAGCCTCGAAGGCAGCACTCAAGTGTGAGTTCTCACCGCCTCGAACCTCCAAGTTTCTGATGATGGTGATGGGCTTTCTTGAATTCAATCCAGAAGCATAGTGGACGCATCTGGTCATCAGCACAGGTGGCCATGGCCCAGCGTAAATGAGGGCGGAGGAATTTCGAATTTCTGCACACACGGGCCGTCTTGTACAGACCCCTCTTTCGGGCTCTTGTGCAGTTGTCGCGTCGCACTGACCATCTCGAACCGCCTCGAATCTCCAAGTCATAGCTCAACATGGAGATGTGACTGGGTGGATCGTGCCGGGTAGACTTCACATCCGATTGCGCATTTTCTCGGGCCGCATAGTTCGAGTTCAATTTCTAGACGTCTCGCGTAACCCTACCAGCCCATCCAGTAACGATACCAGCATGCAGTGGAACAAAGGGCCAGGGAAGCAGTCATATCCCGAGAGGGGGAGGATAGAGGAGGAATCGAAGGAGGGGGAGAAGGGAGGAGGGAGGAGCGAGGAGAAGAAACAGGCTCTTGAGAGCTTCGTGGAGTCATCTTGGAACGTTTTTGGGGCCTCTTGGCGGTCACGCAGGCATCTCGGAGCGTCTTGGATGCCTCGGGGGAGCATCTTGGGGCCTCTTCGGGGGTCTTTTGGGATCCTATTGGGGACCTCTTGGGGGCCTCTTGGTACCCCTGATTAAGGTTGCTCCTCTTGGGCCCTGAAACATACCTCCAGGGGCCCTCTTGTGGCGCTCTTGAGAACGTCTACGAGCTCTCTTGGGTCTCTCTTGGGTCATCTTGCAGCCGTCTCGAGGCCCTGGAAGCCCACCAGCAACAAAAAGGCGAGAAGGCACAAATCTGTGGTTTCCTTCCGGTGCTGGGAGGATGTTGGCCTCTTGGGGGCGTCCTCGGGAGGCTCCGTGGTCGGTTGGAGCCGTCCTGAGGAGATCTTGGAGCGTCTTGGAGACATGCTGGAAACCACCTTGGGCTAGATTGAGCCATCTTGTAGGCCACCTTGGGCTGTACAGCGCTGTTTGGGAGCCATGCTGGGTAATCTCGGACGCTCTGACCGCTCTCCGTGCAGACCCACATGAGGGGGGAAGGGGGAGGGGCCAAGTCCCGAATGGGACCCCGACGAGCTGTCTCTCTCGCTCCCACCCGCCCTCCCACCATGTATCGGCGGCGCGCGAGGGGGGGAAGTGAGAAGGGGCAGACCTTCTCAGAAGGCTCGGACGTCCCCTGGGCATATGAGGAGTTTCCTGAGCCTTCCCCGGAGACAGGGGAAACACTTCTCAAAAGGCGCGAAGGCTTCTGAGAAGTCCCGCCGCCTTCTGAGAAGACCTTCCCCTTCCCACTTCCCCCCCCACCTCGCTCGCCGCCAAGTGTAAGTAGCATCCAGGACTCAGCCTACGCTCAAGGCCCTGGGCGTTTACTAAACAGCCCTGCCTTGTTCGATTCCTTCTTTCGGTGCGTTTACTAAACGGCCTCGCTTGTCGGGGTGGTCATCATGGGGGTGGATTTTTCCCCCTATACGCAAAGACCGCTATCGGATGGGCATCGATGGAGCACCAATGTGTGACGCCGGGTGTGCGACGCTCGCGGCGTGCGCCGCGCGTGCCAGGCGCGCACAGTTTGCCTGACGCGCCACGTGCGCCAGATGCGCCACGTGCGCCACATGCAACAACAACAACAACAACAACAACAGACATAATCATTGTAAGACTGCTCGCTCTTATCTGCTCGAGTGCCATCCAACGTGTATTTCCCAAACCCTCGATATCCGCCCTCTTCGTCTTCGATCGTGCCCCTTTAGGGTGTTTTTTTTTCCCCCTGCAGGCCAGGCCCCGGCAAGCGGCCGGGCGGCCGCGGACCGTCGGCCTGGCCAGCGGCAGCGCTGATCGGCGGCGACCCGACCCCAAGCGGAACGAACAGGGGGCCGACCACGACGACGACGACGACGGCGGCGGCGGCGGCGACGACGACGACGACGACGACGAGCAAAAGCGGGAGCGAGAGCGAAAGCGAGAGCGACAGCGGGTCCACGAAGGGCAGGAAGGGGACCACGAAGGGCGACAGCGGGGCCACGAAGGGCACGCGTACGGGGCCACGAAGGGCGCGAACGAGCGGGGACCACGAAGGGCAGATAATGCGGGGCCACAGAGGGCAACGACGGGGCCATTGAGGGTAGCAACGGGGCCACGTAGGACAGCGACGGGGCCGCGAAGGGCGACAGCGGGGCCACGACGGGCATGCAGGCATGCATACGGGGCCACAACGGGCGCGAACGAGCCACGAAGGGCATGCGCAAATTGAGCCGTAGAGGGCAAGAACGGGGCCACTGAGGGCAGCGAGGGGGCC